TCTAGAGCCCTACAAAAGCAATTTAAACTTCCCCAAACCAAATCATTAGAGCTTTGTTCAATAGGAAAAGGCATACGAGTTTCCCAAAAATTAATTAGGAATATCAATTAACCAAGCAATTAAACCCCCATTCTTTATCAAAGACTAACGATAGCAAACGATATATAATTCACACCACGCGAGACACTAACCAAATACCTACAAATCAGCCGAAAACAAAAGATACAAATGACTAGGAAAATAAAGCAGTTACTAAGGGTGTAAAAGAAAACGGGTAAAAAAAATTAAAGGAGGGTAAAAAAAAAGGGGGAAATCCTATCGTGCCCCGTGATCCTTCTTAACAAGATCAATATTTTGCCTTGCTCTTATGTCCACAACAGTAATTCGTGTGGAAAATTGGGCTCATTTGATGGGGTAAAGCTAGAACAAATATTTGTTCGATGGTGACAAAAGTTGCTCTTTTCTTTGTCCTTTCAGACCCAATATTAATTAATTTGACCCCTGTGACGGGTATGTTTTCATAGTCGACATTGATTTTTGTTACACCCTGTTACGCTGTACCATACTTTTTTATATTTTTCTCCTCACATTTGTTCTTTGTTCTCCCTCCCTGCTCGTTGAGCTGAAAAAGACATTTGACTTTCCGACTTTGGGAGTTACTGGCTTCTTTTTTTTTCTGTAGACTCTAAGAAAAGTTTGTGTTTGTTATGGTAGGGAATGAGTTATTCTTTTCAGCTTTGCTTTGATAAATAAAACCTGTTTGATCTGAATGATTTCCTATTATTAAGGAATTCTGCCCTAATCTAAAATAATAAATTCGAATTATGATTAATGTATTCGTACTATGATTTTATCTTTTAGTTTTTGTTAAAAGCGTTTTGAAGTAATTTTGTAGGCAATTTTCAATCTTATATTGCTAATTAATATCATTCATTTATTTACGAATGAATCAATTATTATTTCCATCAATCAATCAATTATTTATATTCGGTTCAATCAATCAATAATTCATTTATCCATTCCTTCTTTTTTTGTCAGTCATTCATTCAATAATAATGAATGAAAGAATAAAATAATCAATGATTCTTTCAATGAATCAAAGATTCTTTCAATCGATCGAGCAAAGGTTTATTTATTCAATTAATCAATTATTAATTCTGTTAGTCATTCAATCAGTGAGTAATTCAGTCATTCAATCAATCATTTAATCAATCACTTAATCAATCTTTTAACCATTTGATAAGTCAATAAATTAAAAAACTAATATTCTAGTTACTTTTGTGATTATGGCTTTCACATGAAAAAAATTTTTCAGTTTAACTATTCAATCTTTACGCATATTTCTTAAAAAAAGTTTATTTTGTCAATTTGTCTTAATTAACACTAACTTTTGAAGCTTGGGAAGCTAAAGTGAAACTTTTGAAGGCATACAAGAAGCAACACTGTAAAGTTTTTTACAGAACAATTCTTAAACTTAAGCTAGCACTTGGAAATGAAATTTTACGAGACTTCTAGGAAAATGGATTACTTAGGTTTTTGCCCTAATTTATTATTGCATGATTTTTTATGCATGATTTTTTACCGACTGCATGCATGATTATTTATGCATGCAGTCGGTAAAAAATTAGGAAAATGGATTACTTAGGTTTTTGCCCTAATTTATTATTGCATGATTATTTATGCATGATGCCTACCGACTGCATGATTTTTTTTATTTCAATCATCAATGATGAAAATTTTTAAAAATATATCTTTTATCATTACTTTTAACTTTAATCTGAATTTCGAATGATAGCTTAATTTTTATCAATGACCTATCAAAATCGAGCCCATTGGAAGTTAAGAATATTGGTTAACATTTGTATTGCCGAAAGGTAAAAGTTTTATAAAAAAAAAGCTGGTGTCAGCGTGCTATTAGTAGAACTAATTTTAAATTCTATATATTTTTATGAGAGAAATGTTTTTGTTTCTTTTCATCTTAGAAAAAAAAATTACTGTGGCAAATCAAAAGAAGACAGCATTATATCCTCCTGTTGCAATCCTCCAGTTGTTCGGATTTCCGACTCCCGAAATATATGGGGAGCCGTAATCTGGAAAATATGGTCCCTATAGTTTAATCAGGAAAGTGGTCCGAAGTTTAGGCCCCATAATGTTAGTTTTATTTTTTGTGTATTTCGCCATATCTAGAGAACTTTTTAATTGAATTGAAAATGTTTACGCACAACTGCATAATTTATTTATCCAAAGATAATTCCATAAAAAAAAACTTTTTAGTAAATACTTATAATTTATTTAACTACAGTCGAAAGAATTTCAAGCTGTTAGGTATACATTTTTTTATATCATTCTAAAGAATGTTATTTTTATAGGCAAAATACAAAATATGAATGAAATAGGTTGAATCGTTCCAGAAAAATTTAATTTTAGAGAAGCCGTATTTTTAAGATTCAATTTTTCAAAAACACAATTCTATCAATTACGTTCAAGTTTTGTATTTTTCCATGTAAAATTACAGGATTAATATGAAACATTTTATACCTCGCAATTAAAGAATTTTTCACTTATTATTAAATAAAATAATAAATATTTACTAAAAGTTATCTTTGGATAAACGAATTTTATAAATATATGCAAAGAGTGTTTCATTCCCTTAAAAAGTTCTCGAGATGTGGTGAAATACGCAAAAATTTAAATTAACATTGAGAAGTCCGAACTTTGGACCGCTTTCCTGACCTATATTCTGTGGGACAGAAATTAAAATCCATCGAAAAAAAGCACGTTCATTCAGAAAAAGTTCGTTTTTGTGTCTGATTTCGTAACTTAAAATATCATCTGCACTAACTAATAATTATATTTGTGGTCACACCCTCCAACCTTTAAGATTANAGCAAACGATATATAATTCACACCACGCGAGACACTAACCAAATACCTACAAATCAGCCGAAAACAAAAGATACAAATGACTAGGAAAATAAAGCAGTTACTAAGGGTGTAAAAGAAAACGGGTAAAAAAAATTAAAGGAGGGTAAAAAAAAAGGGGGAAATCCTATCGTGCCCCGTGATCCTTCTTAACAAGATCAATATTTTGCCTTGCTCTTATGTCCACAACAGTAATTCGTGTGGAAAATTGGGCTCATTTGATGGGGTAAAGCTAGAACAAATATTTGTTCGATGGTGACAAAAGTTGCTCTTTTCTTTGTCCTTTCAGACCCAATATTAATTAATTTGACCCCTGTGACGGGTATGTTTTCATAGTCGACATTGATTTTTGTTACACCCTGTTACGCTGTACCATACTTTTTTATATTTTTCTCCTCACATTTGTTCTTTGTTCTCCCTCCCTGCTCGTTGAGCTGAAAAAGACATTTGACTTTCCGACTTTGGGAGTTACTGGCTTCTTTTTTTTTCTGTAGACTCTAAGAAAAGTTTGTGTTTGTTATGGTAGGGAATGAGTTATTCTTTTTAGCTTTGCTTTGATAAATAAAACCTGTTTGATCTGAATGATTTCCTATTATTAAGGAATTCTGCCCTAATCTAAAATAATAAATTCGAATTATGATTAATGTATTCGTACTATGATTTTATCTTTTAGTTTTTGTTAAACCGTTTTGAAGTAATTTTGTAGGCAATTTTTAATCTTATATTGCTAATTAATATCATTCATTTATTTATGAATGAATCAATTATTCCTTCAATCAATTATTTATTTTCGGTTCAATCAATCAATAATTAATTTATCCATTCTTTCTTTTTTTTGTCAGTCATTCATTGAATAATAATGAGTGAAAGAATAAATTAATCAATGATTCTTTCAATCGATCCAGCAGAGGTTTATTTATTCAATTAATCAATTTTTCATTCTGTTGGTCATTCAATCAGTGAGTAATTTATTCATTCAATCATTCAATCAATCATTTAATCATCACTTAATCATTCATTTGATAAATCAGTAAATAAAAAAATGATATTCTAGTAACTTTTTTGATTATGATTTTCACATGAAACATTTTTTTCAGTTTAACTATTTAATCCTTAAGTATATTTTTGAAAAATGTTTATTTGTCAATTTGTCTTAATTAAAACTAACTTTTGAAGCTTGGGAAACTATAGTGTAACTTTTGAAAGCATACAAAAAGCGACAGTATAAAGTTTTTCATAGAGCAATTCTTAATCTTAAGTTAGCACTCGGATATGAAATTTTACGAGACTTCCAGGGAAATGGATTACTTAAATTTATATATAAGCTTTAGTAAATACTCATTTAAATTACCAAAAATTGGCACAAATTAGTTTAACACTGAATAAACTTCTTTGTCACCTTTGGTACCAATGCCACCTCAACAATATCTAAATTGGATCTATCTTGAGCAGGTATTAAATATGCTACAGCTGTATTGCCTCTTTCGCCATTCTTAGTCATCCGTTGCATTTTATAGAAACCTTGATTTTAAAAAAATTACGGTGAAGAAATCATACTAACTGTAACAAGTAGTTCAAATTAAAAGTAGACACGCGTAATAAATTTAGAAATATAACAGTAATACCAACACTTCTCTTTAGGGTTATAAGTTAAATTAAGAGTAGTGCACTATAGAATGAGTATAATTTATTAATCAGTTCGCATGAGAGCATTTAAAGTGGATCCAAAGTCATACTAAGATGCATCCTTCTTAGCTCTATCAACATGCTCTCGTGGGAAATGGTTAATCAGTTATACACAGTATGCGGTACACTCACTATAACTTCATTTATAATCTACAGTGCTATTCTGCTATTATGATAACATGGTAAACTCATGATAATAAAGTTATTAGAACTTGAAAAGCATACACTTTCAAATGTAACGAAAAAGCAGAAGAATAGAAATATGGGCAGAGTAAAACAAAGAAGTTTATAATGCTTCTTTCGAGAGCTTCCACGCGTTCCTAGAAGGAGCTTAACCATTACATCGACAAAAAGCCTTAAACTCTAATCTGTAAGTTTTATACTTGGCAATGATGAAATCTGCTAATTTGATATGCTCACCACATGGAGATGATAGGGATGATTCAGCACCGTCAGGATTTCTGAGAGATCACCTGGACGGTGATGACGGATCTACCATGACGGTTATATTTCATTACTATATTCCTGACGCTATCACGCTTGCTTACTTTTAATTTAGGTAACTTTATAAAATAATAAAAAATTACCGGTTTGCTTTTCAGCATTGATGTCTCTGTATTCATATCCTCGTTCAATGCCGGATTCTGCAAATGTTTTCATCAATGCACTTTCATATTGTAAAGATTACTTACCGGACACGGGGTGTTTAGAGACTACCGAAATAGATTTTTCAATAAAAACCCAAACTGTACCTACTGTGGGGACAATCAAACAATCGAACACTTGATCATGAACTGTCCACACTTTCGAACACTCCGTGGGAACCATCTTGCAGGACGGACATTGCATACTTTGCTAAGTTGGTCTGTAGAAACATTGTTAAAAAAATTATAAGGGCAACATTCTAAACAACATTTAACTATGATCGGAGCCTGCGAACACTATTGCTGGTGTCTTGTGTTTTTATCTACCATCATTTCAAATTTCTCTAAGATTTAACTTGTATTGTTTTTATCAATTTTTAACTAATTGTTTTGATTCTTAACTTGTTCTGCTTTTTAACTTTCATACCGAAATTTAACTTTTAATATTTTATTACTGTTTTACATGCTTTTGCAAAGTTTTAACATTTATTGGATTTTTGGGCTCTTTTGTTCTTTAACCCCTTTACTAAACAAAACTAAACTCAGCGGCGTGACAGCCCATGAGGGCCAAGGCCTACTGTGCCCATCTCAGTTTTCTTGACCTTGAGCTCTGGGGTACAGGAGCAGATGTTCCGGTCAGGTGGTCAGCCGAATGCGGAATCCCCAGTGTTTAGTTCCCAAGCATGCTTGGTACTCATTTATCTACTCACTGAAGGGATGAAAGGCTGAGTCAACCTTGCTCGGCCCGAGGATTGAACTAGGTATCTGTGGCACGACAGCGTGAAGCACTACCGCTCAGCCACAGGGTGTCTCAGCCCTTTACTACTTTACTATTTTAATGGGTTTACACTTGTTTTAATAGATTTGTATTGATTATTTTAGATATTCTGATTATTATACTTGTAGTTGGTGTAATTTTCGAGTTTTATGTGTGTATAACGCATGTCTTATGTATGTATAATGTATGTATCTACTCTCGTATGCCCTTAAATAGGGCGGATCGAGATACAAATAAACTTATATTGTAAAGATTGAACTTGAAGTGGCTCTTCAGTACCGTGTCAGCCGGAAATAATGTTAAATCAAACTACTATGTGCTGAAAAAGCTTTTTTATTCTACTCATATTTTTAGACGAGAAATTACTTGGACACTTATACAATGTCTAAAAAAAGGTACTTTAACGTCCATGCTTATAGGTAGAAATACAATTCAAAGTAAACCTAACACCGACATATATCGCATTGTTTCGAATGACAGTCTTCCGGGTTGGATCCAGGATACTGATTTTTATGTTATGTTGATTTATTTCTTTGTTTATTTGGACATATTCTTTACGCTTTATTTCTCATGTTGAATTTTATATCATTTCATTAAACAATTATATTGTTCTAATTTGAAAAATAAAATAATGTGATGATTGTTGCAAATTAATTATGGTATTTATTATAAGATAATAGAGATAGGATGGATGATTGATTGATGATAGATTTAATGATGATTTCGGAATTCTATTAAATGTCATTTCGCAATAATAATATTATATATTGAAATGGAAAGATATTGTATTTGGAAATTGAATATAGCCACTTAATGAAAATAAGAACTATTAACTTCAAATCTAAAGCAATTAAACGAAGAAGAACGGAATCGTTCGTAAGTGGTAGTACAAAACCAACGCGGAATAGCTATAGCCTAATGGGTTCAATGGTCAAACTACGTAAGTTTAACATTGAAAAGAATAGCATCACCAAATTTGGAATAAGGTGGGCGCTACAAAATAAACAAAATCATAGATTTAAGATAATTAGGGAATGACTTGCTTTATCCAAATAGAAGCATAGTATTTGACACAGTGATGAGATGCTTCCAATCAAAAAATATATATATTTGCCAACGAAATATACTGACCGCATACAGGAGGAATAAGACAACCAGCACAAGAATGATGACAATTTAAAAGGTACGTTCAGGTTTCCTCTAATTCTACTTTTAATTATGTACAGTGCGCAAAATAAAAACGAACCACTCTGAATAATCGATGATCTAATAATAATTTTGATCGATAATCTAATAATAATATTTTGATCTAATAATCTAATCTTCGCTTTCTAGGACTCAATCTTAATAATTCAATGGGGTGACCTCAAATATGCTTATTAGTGCAAGCGATATTTTAAGTACGAAATCAGACACAAAAACATACTTTCCCTGAATAGACATACCCGTTTTTTCGACATATTCGGATTTCCGACTCCCGAAATACATGGGGTAGCCGTAAACTGGAAAATATGGTCCCCATAGTTTAATCAGGAGAGTGGTCCAAAGTTTAGGCCCCATAATTTTAATTTCATTTTTTATGTATTTCGCCATATCTAGAGAACTTTTTAAAAGAATTGAAAATTTTTTACACACAACTATAGAGTTCATTTATCCAAAGGTAATTCCATAAAAAATAATTTTTAGTGAATAATTTTTTTTTACTTAACTACAGTCGAAAGAACTTCAAATTGTAAGGTATACAATTTTTTATATCATTCTGAAGAATGTTATTTTTATAGGCAAAATACAAAATGTGAATAAATAGGTTGATTCGTTCCAGAGAAATTGAATTTTAAAGAAGCCATATTTTTAAGATTCAATTTTTCAAGGACCATTCGATCAATTTTTTTCAAATTTTGTATTTTTCCATGTGAAATTGCAGGCTTTAAAATTATGTAAATATTTTATACCTTACAATTAACAAATTTTTCATTTCTTATTAAATGAAATAATAAACATTTACTAAAAGTTATCTTTTGCATGAAGTTATCCTTGGATAAACGAATTTTATAAATGTATGCAAAAATTGTTTCATTCTCTTAAAAAGTTCTCGAGATGTAGTGAAATATGCAGAAATTTAAATTAATATTTAGAAGTCTGAACTTGGGAACGCTTTCCTGACCTATATTCCGTGGGACAGAAATTCAAATCCGTCGAAAAAAGTACGTTTATTCATAAAAAGTGCGTTTTTGTGTCTGATATCGCGTGCACTAATTAATTTTCATATTTGTGGTCATTCTCTCAAACATTTAAAATTGAATCCCAGAACGTGAAAGTACTCTAATTAGATCAAAAGTTTTTCAGAGTAACCTGCTTTTTATTTTGCGTACTGTACAACAAAATTAATATCTTTGCGTTTAAACTGTGAAAAAAATCCTTTAAATTAAGAAAAATCACTTGAAATTTCGCATAGAATAAACTGAAACTGTTATAAAATTGTAGGTAAATAAATATTTAAAAAAAATTAAAACAGAAGATTTAAGTAAAGGATCAACTGTAACATTATACAAAGGGTAACTGTGACATATATTTGTATAGATGTTTGGTAATCGAATTTTAAACAAAGTTACCCTGTATATAAATAGACAAAAAAGCATAGAGAGATAAAGAGAAAAAAATTATCACTAATTTTAAAAAATACACGCCATTTTGAACAAATTCTGGATCTGTATTGCTTTCAGCCTTGATGAAATCAGGAAGCACATCTTACGAAGCTCAACCATCTGCTCCGTGATCAGCCCAATGATTGTAGTCTCTTTTATTACCTCTGATGTAAAACATGAAATTAGTACTACTTGAACCTCCAAGTCCCTTCCCTCTTGGAACATCGAGTTGCTAAGATAAGGACAGATATTATTCATAAATATTTTGAATGATTATTATTCATTAGAGTGAACACTGTCCATAGACGCTTAGGATAAATATTATTCGTTGATGCTTGAAATAACTATTATTTAAAGACGTTTAAGCTAAATATTTTTTTATCAACAATTTGGGTAAATATTTTTCATAATTTTATTCAATAATGCTTAAAATAAATATCATTCATAGACAATTTAGATAAGCATTTTTTCATTAATGATTAAAATAAATAATATTCATAGATGAATTTTGATCATAAATTGATGTTTAGGAGGCCTTTTTTCTTTTGACGCATCTCAACTGTTAAATGTTGTTATTTTCGCTTTTGACATGATACTCGTCTTTCACAAATACACATGTATAAAAATACATTAATTAACTTTATCTTTTTGAAGAGATAGATAGGTAGGTGTTTTATTTACTTCGCACAGGAGCTGCACAATGCGAAGGTCTAGGAAACATCCCTGAGGATGATCCGAAGACATGTCATCGCAATTTTAATCCTCTGCATAAGGGATGGGTCCTCTTCTTTGGTAACCCGATGACCTGAGCATGAAGTCGGGCACTTTACGGTAGGACAGTTTGTCGAGAACCGATATCACGCATCCTCGGTCCGTACGCAGCCTGCTCAAAGTGGTCACCCACCTGCTTTCTGACAGCAACCAGTGATGCTTGACTTCAGTGTTCTACTGGGAACCGTGTCTTTACAATCAGTCCCTTTTCGAACAGAAACAGGGGTCTATAAAAATTAACTTAGACTCGGGATTTTTGCAGTGCGATAAAACATCACTTAGCAACATAATAAGGAATTACGATGGCTAAGTGGTAAAGGCACTGATCTGCTGTCGCGAAGACCTTAGGTTTGATCTCTAGTGGGTGCTTGACATAAGCTTAGGCTGCTTTATCGTAAGAGTTTGTAAGTATGTCTCCAAAATTAAAAAAGTTGCGTACCCACCATTTGAACTCTTTTACTTAAAGGAAATTTAATCAAAATATAATTTCTAATAATTACAAACAAAAATTTCATAATTTAATTTAGAAATGGTACAAAAAAGGTTTGAATTATAAAGTTTTGCAAGATCTATATTTTTCCTAAATAATGCATTAGTTACTTGAAAAATATAAAATTTAAACATCGGTTGAATAATTCAGGAAAAATATAATGAATGAAAAATTTTCATTTCCAAAATTTTCATATCAGTTGAAAAAAAAGTTACCTCGACATTCTAATATTAACCTTGTCTACATTTATTGTTTACTGTAAAAAATATGTTATTGTAGAGAAAATGGAGAAAAGGAGTTATGGAGAAAAGGAAATCCTATATACCGTAATTTTATAGTAATAATTACCTTTAATTTGCTAAATTACATTAATTAAATAAATGTTTCTGCAAAAAGTACGGTATAATATTTTACGATAAAAATAGGTTTTACGGTAAAATGGATTTTTCGAATTATACACACAAAGTGCTGATACTTTATTCCGTAATTGGATACGGAATTTTTTAAAATGTGGGAAAGTGTGCAGAATTCATTCAGCAAAAAATTTAGGATTTTTTTTTTTACAGTGCAAAAGCTTCAAATAATATCTTTTAGAAATTTTTTTAATGTAGATGTGTTCAAATCCTTCACTTTTCAATTAGCAGATTTATATAAACAAGTTTTCACAGATTTTTTTTCTCAGCGTTAAAAATTAAATATCTTTATGTAAGACCCAAGTAATCCAGCTTAGCTTAATGTTAAACATTTTAGCTTAATGTCAATACGTTTTAACTTAAATGTCGTAATCATTAGTTGATTCTTTGTCCTTTTTCATGAAAATATAATTTCTTAAACTTCTATTGTTACTGCCCTGTGTGGTTAATATCCTATTTTTATTGTTGCGTTTTCTTTCCTTTTAATTACTTGTAAACAACAATACTTCAGAGAATTTAGTAAAACTTTTAATTTTAGTACATTGTTAGAATGGTTCTTAAAACATTGTTGCTAAAAGTATACCTTTGTTATTTACACCAACAATATAGCAGAAAATATTAATTCCTCATTCTTATTTGAGCTTTTATAAGTGAATAACGTCTTTTTAGACAAGTGACTTATAATTTGTGAAAATGAGTGAATTATTTCGTTTTGCTGTGCTTAATCACTGGCAAAAAGAGTTGAAAAGGAATCCAAGGCCTTGTCGTAATTATGAAAACAATTTATTTTATAGTTTTTTAAGTTAAAGATAAATTCAAAACCTGACCAAATCTCAACTAGAATCAATCAAAGAATGTTTGGAGATAAACAGGATTTGATGATATGTAATATTAGATGTCTATATTGTTTTGTGTGCGAAAACCACTAATTTCTGTAATTTAGAAATTTATTTATGAATTATTTTTTTTATTAATCAAGAAAATCAATAAAGTCATTAATACATAAATTAAAGGCAAGGTAAATTGAAATTTAATTTATAATCTATTTTTAGCTCCTGGATTCTTTGCTGAGGACAGCAGTAGTAGTTCATCTGAAACAGATGGGTAAGTACATGATTTAGAATGTAAAATAATGTGATTGCTCATTTAAAAAATGGCATATTTTGAAAGTACACAAAACATAAATGCCAAGTAAAAAATCCTTCTCAAAAGAAACAGATTCACGGTCAAATTATTTGAAATCCGAAATATTTGCATAAATTAAATTATCCAATGCTAACATAAAGAAATGTTAACTTAAAACAATCTGTTACATCGATGCATAGTTTTGTGGTTTTTTTTCAATTTCATAATCCATTTCATAAATAGTGTCTTAATAATTTGCATTAATTTTATGCTTGGATTATACAAGTTAATTTAGACCGGTGAATAAAAACAGCTATTAATTTCAATTTTCAACACTTAGAGCGACCGAATATAAAACTGGTATAACTTAATTCAATACTATTCGTATTTAGCATTCTGAATCGTTATATAACCATTGATTGAAAGTCAAAATTCTATAATAAAATACAGGTAATAATTGAGATGTTATTTTCCTATATTTATTGTCTTAAACTTGAGATATTAGACTACCTAGATGAACCTACCTACTTAGGTTGGTAGTTAGCTGTCATTTCTTACATAGATTTTTTTTATTCATTAATATTTTTTTTAATTTTTACACAATAAGTAAAAATTAATCGTTGATCAACATAATTCTGCCTAATTTTGGTTTATAAAAAGCATCTCTCTTCCTCGTTTATTGCGTTTTATTAAAAATTAAACATTGCTGTAATTTATAATACCACCTGAATAAAAAAAAGATTCATAATGAAAACTAAAATAGAGAACATTTATTTTTTAAATGACTTATCATGAAACGTTTTATTTTTGTCCAACTCTTACCTCGGTTTTTTTTTCAGTTTTACATTGCCAGCACAAAAAAAAAAGTTTTTGTTTCTTTTAGTGACAGAATAGGTATTAGAGTTTTATTAAGTAGTAGTTATTAAGTAGTACGACATTTAAACAATTAAGATTAAATATAACTATTTGAATAAATCATTGCAATATATTTTTTATTTAGAACATATCATGTGTGGAGAACATTTTAAATGTAACTGTTAATAAGAAATTTTTAAGTAACATACGTTTAAAAGATATTCTTTTAACAATATTTAGTACTTAACACTATTATTAATTTTTTATTAAACAGAAACTGATCTTTATAACATCTCAAGTATGAGTTAAGCAGGAAACTGATGACAGATGACCATCTTGAGATAATTAAATAATGTAATAATTTTATTTCTTCTTTTAGCTATGAAATGCTGGGAATTGATGGTGAGATAGTGTGTGAGGAGTCACATGTGACTTCTGATGATGAGAATGACGCTACTGATAGGTAATTTAAAGAGTTATTATCTTAAAGAGATCATAATATCTGAGTTTGAAACTACTTTAAATATTTAATGAAAGTTATTGCATATTAGTATATACATAATAGCCATGCAAAAGAAAACGAGAGCAAAAAAAATATCGAAATAAGATTTTAAATTGATAGTTTAAAATAGTTATTATTTATAGATAAATTGATAATTAGATTGTTCAATGTCCCACCGAAATCATTAAAAAAAAATATGTAAAATTATTAAATTACTATATTTTTTATAGGAAAATATGTTAAACTTAAAGCAACTATATAATGTGATAATGTCCTTTTTTTACCTTTAGCGATGAAATGGAAGAACTCAGTGCTGAAATACAGCAATCTGAGTCATCAACAACTGATGATGAGGATGTTGAGATGTTGAATAGGTAATCTGTTTATCTTTTATCTTATTATTATTGTATTAATTTTTCAGTGTGATTATATATATAGTAATTTTCAACATAGTACATAGTATATATAGTATTTATATCGCTATTTTTGCATGATAATTTTCATTGTGGAATCATTATAAAATATTTGGGAAGACTTCTTTTTAAAAAATACAAATTAATTTAACTCATCTTAATCAGAACGTGAAGAATTTAAAGAAATTCGAATGAGAAATAAATGTGCACAGTGTAAGAAAATGTACCTCTATTTTTAATAACTAAATTTTTGTTACTAAATTTTTTGATAAATAAAATATGTTAAACATAGATATATACTAAACTTGAGGTGCTAACTATATAATATGATAATTTTATTTGCTTATCTTTAGCGATGACTTGGTTGAGTTGAGCTCTGAAATGGAGATGAAAGAGTCATCTTCATCTGATGTTATAGATGTTGCTATCGTGGATAGGTAATTCAAACAGTTTTTTTTATTTTTTAAGATCAAATTAAGTATTTTAAACAACATCTTATACATTAAGTAATTTTCGAAACACATGTATTAGTATTTAAGTTTTTTCTTTCATAATAATTTTTGTAGTGGAATTGACAAATATATATATATATATTTATAATCTATTTAAAAGTAAAATATTTACTCTTATCAGAGTTAGATGAATTATGAGAAGTTAAAATGAAGCATATAATAATGAACACATAGAGTTTTTCAAATTAAAGTCGATATAGATTTGTTTTGGAGCTAGTTTGACTCATTTTTGCATCCAAGGATCCCTTTTTAACCCTTTTTACTAAGCTTGAGGTATTAACAATATAATAATTTCATTTTTTTATCTTTAGCGATGACTTAGTTGAGTTGAGCTCTGAAATGGAGATGAAAGAGTCATCTTCATCTGATGTTGAAGATATTGCTATTGTGGATAGGTAATTTAAACAGTTTTTATATTAAAGTCGAATTAAGTATATTATAATCCTGATAACCTTCCTTTGTTGTTCTTGAATTTACTGCGATACCCGCTGCATTTATTTCACATCTAATGGCATCTGATGAAATTTTTCTATCTTGAAGGCATAGGCGTTTAATTTTGCTATCGGCAGTAGCACTTGTGCATTTTTTCGGCCCGAAATTGGCATCATGAATGCCAAAAAATACATCGAAACTGTCCTGAAACCAAAATTGATACCTTCCATCAGGGATCTCTTCCCCAACAACGCACCATTTATTTCTCAGCAGGATTCAGCTTCATGCCCCACAGCAAAAGTTTGCAAAGCATGGTTTCAAAATAAAGGCATAGATATACAGTAAAACCCCGCTATAGTGAACCTTCAAGGGATCGAAATTTTGGTTCACTATAACCGGGAGTTCACTATATCCGTTCCGCAGGCAATTTACTAATAATTCCCAAACTCATCCCTTTTATTACATTATATTCATATAAATGACTAAAAAATATTATGTAGTAGCAAAAAATGTGTTATTTTTCATCACTCTTCGTCTTGCGTGCAAATAAAAATTAGTAATGTTTAGCTAATAAGCAATCCTCAACATCAGATATGGAAACACTTCCCGACTCTCAGATAATTTTTCCTGAATTTCTGTTATTCCGCTCTTTAAACCTGCCTAACCTGCCATTCGAGCACATAAAAGTAGTTTCTATAGATGGTTTTAAAAATCGGTATATGTATTTATTTTGAAGTAGAAATTTCAAAATTATTACAGAGAAAA